TTTTAGTCATTGTTTGAGTCCTTTGATAAAAGCATTACTGTTGCTCTCTAAGTTTAGATTAGTGGGTAGAAAGTTCCAAAGTGTTGTCCCCTTTACAGAAAGAGCAGACTGACAGAATGAGCTCGTGTGGTCGCTCTGTGGTGGTTCTGTTGCCTGGTGGCCAATGCAGAGAACAGTGGTGATACGCGATTATTTAGACATTTAAAAAACAATTTAAGAGGACTAAAATTCATAACATTTTCAGAGGTGAGCAGGTTGTGTTTTCTTAAAAAGCAGCAGTGATGCCATCTCATTGGTTTCCGGTCCATGAGTTTTATTGCCTGCTTGTATATTGAGATTATAGGTTTCAAAGGAGTTGAAGAAGCTTGTGACCATGATGGGATGCAATATGACAGATGAGAAAAAAATCATTGCATGCATGTACAGATTTGCAGCTTGATGTGACAGGTTCCTTCTAATAAAACGAAAGCAGTTAAGATTTGGTCTAACCTTGTTGCACATGTACTTAACCTGACTATCAAACTTTAACTTCTTGTCCAAAATGATGGCTAGGTAGTAGGTACTTGACTTCACCCACTTCATCAATGACTTCCTTCTCAATCCCGACCTCAAACACAATATGTGGGGGCCTGTTATGCATGGAGAAGCACATTGATACAGTTTTTTTAACAATAAGAGTTAGATGGAATAACTCAAACCATTCTGAGATGTTGAATAAAGCCTGGGTCAGATGCACACCTGCCAGGCTGGGTATTTTAGTGGACACATGGATTATCGTGTCATAAGCGTACATCTGGCAGTTGACATCTGGACAGCAGCTTGGTAGGTCGTTAATATATATCATGAACAACAATGGACCAAGAACACAGCCTTGCTGTACTCACATGCTGTTTGCATGTGACTTCACCCCTTTGACCCTCACACACTGCTGTCTCCCCCCCGAGGCATGATTTCAACCACTTCAGAGCTGCAGGTGACATTTTGAATTGATTTAGTTTATTAAGTAAGATACTATGGTTAAGAGTGTCAAAGGCCTTTTTTTTTTTTTAGATCCATTAGATGTTTAGATGTTTCTGTGGAATATCCATCCATCTATCCAACAACCAAGCACACTCACATTGACACCTACGGACAATTTAGAATCACCAGTTAACCTCCACATATTTTTTAGGACTGTGGGAAGAAGCCGGAGAACCCGGAGAGAACCCACGCTGCATTGGGAGAACATGCAAACTCCACACGGAAAGATCCCGGGTGTCCTCCCCAGGATGCGAACCGGCGACCTCTTGCTGCGAGGCCACCACCGAGCCACCTTGCAGCCCGTTTTAAAGAGTCTTTAGCCAAAAAACGTGTCAATCAAATGAGTGACACTCTAGTGCAAATTTTGTAAGTCTATATAGTGATATATGTTTTGCATTCCAGATGCAAAAAAGCAGTGACATCTCTTTTTTCTTCTTCTTTTTTTTTGCACTTTCCCAAATAGATTTAACGTTTCACAAATCAGAGAGCGCTTTGGCCTCTTTAGGGTAATTTAGTCCAGAGCTCAACAGTCTATCTATGGTGTTTTTCATTTGAAGCTGGACTGATGCGATGCAGATGCAAAAAAAAAGCAGTAAAATCCGCCCTTTCTGCATTTCACAAATAGTAAAACCGAATCACCCTGTGTTGTAAAGAATCTTTAGCCTCTGCAGGACAATCAGGTCCAGATTGGACCTATCCATATACAGTGTTCTGTCATATAGACCTGGTTCAATGTGGTCCAGATGTGAAACAAGCAGTGAAATCTCCATTTATCTGCACTTTCATAAACAGATGGGGGTTTTACAAATTGGATATTGTAAAGACTATTTAACTTTTCTTGGACAATGTAGTTCAAAACGTACCAATATGTCTACTCATAGGACTTTACTAATGTGGTGAAAAAAGAAGCTAAATCTGCCTTTTGTTCATTTAGAACACAAACATACAGACTGCACAGATGAAAATGCTCTGCAAGTGAAGTTTCCCTTAACTTTTCCCTTACTTGCTGAATCAGAAGCTGCCTTCAGCATCACAGTACATATTCCAGTAGAACACTGCGCAGCCGCAGTATAGAATTAGAAGTTAATTACCTTTAGCTTGCTTTTCCTCTGCATCCTTTTCAGTCACATCCTCAGTCTGCACTCAACAGACCCTCCTTCTCAGCATAAGGGCCTCCAAATTATCCTGTTACATTCTGCTCCTTGATAAACATGAATAAACTTCGTCTTAGCCTTTTTTTTTTTTTTTTAAAGAAAATAAATTACTTTCAGCATCACAGTTGGCCCACTTCTGTTGCGATCCATCTTTCATGCATCCTTACCTGCACCTGCTGCTCTGCTTCCTCCCTCTGAATCCGATAATCCACTCTTCCAAGGCTTTTTTGTTCATTATTGCAAGTTTATATCACAAATTCGTTCTCTACGTCTGCTTTATCATTCTTTTTCTTCTGTTTGTGTCCCTCCTCGTCTTGTTCGTCGTCTCCTTACTCGTCCATGCTAACGTTAGCGCTGCTAGCTTGAAGCAGCACTGTCGACGGTTGGTGGGATTTTTCGAAAAATAAATCTGTAGTTTTTGCATATTTTTCACCCGCAGGTACCTCAGAGCTTTCTTTGTATTTTCGCACCTGTTTTCCGTTTATTTCTTTGGTCATTTAGTGCCCCAGGATTTATTTTTTTTTTCTTATGCGATGTTGAAGTTTCATTTCATTTCCGCCCTCACTTGACCTTCCAACTCCCATGAGCCCCCTCGACGCATCAAATTCTTGAGGAATGTATTTATTAAAAATGTTTTGTGCTACATACGACATAAAATAGCTTTTAAAATCAAAATAACCTCATATATTTTATTATTTTTATTTTCTTATTATTATTTTTGACCCAGCCATTCTGGCAGCCCTTTTGACATTTGCCCAATTTCAAGATGGCCGCAATTTAGACCCTCACTTGGATTTTTACTTTATCAGGGACATTTGCTGAACCTGCAAAATGGCACACTATGTTTGGAAAGCACCTAAGACATACCATAAATACTTCACAGACTTGCCTTTATTTATACTTACCTGTAATCAGACAAATGACTCCACGAGATCGATTGGGAGGAGGCCAGCTGAGGCAATTCAGAACATGCAAACTACTTTATCAGAGGAAAAGATAAAAATGTCACCGAACATATGTGGTATATAACTTATATTATTAGGTACTGTAAGCTGAAGTGCCTTCTGATAATATAATGTGATAGTTCCATGGTGAAAAAAGTACTTTTACGTGAAGAAATATTAAAGCCAAACCCAACATAAATTTAAACAGTATATGGAAATAAAGGGACTAGAAGTTCTGGTATTCATTGCATATTGCTGCGTACTTGGCTGCACACACAGATGATCATTACCAGCACAGCTCTCTATAAATTCCACAGTATTTCCCAGCATTTTGGGAAACACACACCTTGGCTTTGCTCCACACAGATGAAAAGATTGACAGCTCTCTTTTAAAGTATATGCAAAGTAAATGGAGCCAGAAAATGGTTAGTTTATGCATTTAAAACAATCACCAGCCAGCACCTCTAAAGTTCAGTACATGTACATGGGGAGTATGGAAAAACTGCACTATAAATTCATTTTTTTGCTTAAATGTGACAATTCTGCAGATCATCTGTGCTGGCAGTGGGTGTTGGACTGGATATGGCATTCTAATTTAAATTTATTGAGTCGTTTTGCTGCCTATTCTTCACTGCTGTCACTGTGCCTCTGTAGTTTTGCTTCAGTTCTAGCTTATAAAAGAATAAGAGTTCACTTTTCTGTCACCGCGCTTTTCTTGTGCAGCAAATCTTCTTTAGGCAGAAATTCAGACAGCCAGGGCAATAAATCTATGTATTAACAGCAAGAGGTCCACTCCAGATGTCCTATAAAGGACATTTTTTGGGGGTAGGGGGTCATTTTTTTGCTTGCATGGCTATTAAAATAGCCTCTGTAGCGTGAAGAGAGGAAAATGTGAGATTTTAGGGATAAGCTTTTAATCTTTGTTTGGTTTCATTCAACAATTAAATCAACATAGGAATTAAAACATAGCATGCACAGCAATCATGATGTGGGGGTTTACATAAATACCTTAATTGGTACGGTACTTAAATTCTCAACATATGACAATAAAACACAGGGTTACCATAGCTGTCATGCATTACAAGAATAATCTACTCTTAAATCTTCAGCTTGTGACTGATTTCATACAGCAGGGTTTTCACTTTCTAAAGCCGATGTATCTAATAAGAAAAATGGCTTTATAGGGTTTTCAAAAAATGACAGAAATTCAATCCATCACAGTCAGTTCCCCTGATAACTCAAACATGATCCAGGATAAGCTCCAGGATATGTTAATTATCAAGCTTTAGAGGTGCTGCTGGACATATTTATCAGAGCCAGGCTGCTTTTTCCTGCTTCCATTCTTGATCTCAAGCACAGCAGCTCCACATTTATTGTACAGATAAACTGTTATTGGTCATGTATTGTAATTTTCTGCAAGAAAGTCAACAGGCACATCTTCCACATTTAAAAAAATACAAAATAAAAATCAAAACCTGCACCTTTAAAAACTACAAACAACTGGCCTATTATGTCCAAATATAAAGAACTTCTCCTTCCTCATTAAATAACTTCTCAACTGTCGTTTGAACCACAGCTTGACGTGCCTGGCTCACCTCGCTGCTGCAACTGAAACGTTTCCTCATCTGTCTAGTTCAGCACTTTAAAGCTGTGAAGTTTGCACTCAAGACTTAAACCGAAACTCAGCTGATAACTGCTCAATAATGATGTTATTCTGCCCACAAGATCAAAATCACTTATCAGCTTAAACTAACATTTCTAACTAACATTTAATTTCTGGCCTCTAATGTGTTAATGATTGAGACAAATGTATTCACAGATCCTTTGGCCGAGCGGTGGCTTTCTACACCCAGTGTGGCAGAAAAATGACACACAAACATTGTTTCATAAAGTACAAAAACAACTTTATTTACAAAAACAGACCACTGCCCCTGTCCCACAAACCCCCGAAATTCTGTGACTACTGTGGAATGCTATGTCTGTGGCTGAGGTTGGGAATTTACTGGACTGACAAGAACAACACCCAGTGCAAACCTGCAGTATTTTTCCACCCACTTATTTAGTCTGCGTGCACCCGTCGTCTAATGCCGCAGTATGGCAACACTTCTTGAACCGTGGCCCGAAGCTTGGACTCGGTTTAGAGGTCAGCTTCTGTTTGGCTGCAAGTAAGCAATATGCTTTAATGAGCTCAAAAAGACAGGTAGGGTGAGAGGCTGAGAGAGGCTTGACAGTACCATCTGGGACCATGGTATATGTATCATTAACAGATGATTCTAATGAATACAAATTAAAACAGTCACACCATACAAAAATTCATTTTGTTGAGATCAAAGTTAGAGGACACGCAAAATGAAATACTTCTTCTTTCTAAATAACCCGTTAAAGACACAAAAATATTGTCAGGCTCACATGCCTCATCCGTCCAGACAGCATGAAATCAATCTCCACACTTGGTGTACATCAGGGAATAACTACTACTTGGGGAAATCTTAAAAAAAAAAAAAAAAAAAAGTCTTTAAATAAAATGTCTTCATTCACTCATTCGCAGAAGATTTCAGTTCAGTGTGATAATGTGAACAGATGACAGAGCAAAAACTGCTTCTGAATTATTTTCACACGGCTGTACGTGTGAAAAAATAACTGTCTCGTAATGTTAAAAGAGCTGAGACTCATCATGTTTCCGTGTAGCGGCTGCATGTGTGGTTTCTGCTGACAAACAGCACAGACGAGGTGTCAAACACCGACGCTGACTTCTCAGTAACTGCTCTGGTGAACATCTATCTGTGGCGTGTCTGTAAACAGCTCGCACTTCTCATTGCAGGTAATTGCAGCGTTGAGAAAGGGGTCATTTGCGTCATCGGTGGCCGATGTAGGACAGTTACCAGACAGTGTGGCTGCTGGTGTATTTGCATGTAGCACAGTGTGTGTCTGCTCACTGTCAACCGCATGACGCCATCAGTCTGAATCCGTAACGGGGGAAAACGGTTGCACAGCAGAATTTGTGTGTCACATTGTTATATGTATTCCTAGAATGAGTGTGCTGCTGTGTGAAGGTGTGTGGGTGTGGTTAGAAGGCGTAGCGAGTGCGGATGTCCTCCAGTTTCTTGGAGACTTCGGGCGGCGTTCTGTCCAGCTCCTCAGCAACGCTTTTCTGCTTGTGAGGATCCATGCTGTTGAACTGCTCGCACAGATCTCCATCGATCACATTCTGGAACAAAGAAGACAAAAAGTTTCCATCATGCTCAGCTGCATATAACCGGAAGAGATGAGGTGGAATTAGACTGCACGAGAGAGCACAGACATGGTAAAACATCGCCCACCTTGACGGGAAAGTAGTAGGATCTAAAGCTGAGATGGTCTCGGCCACAGAGGGGAGGGAACTCAGAGCGCATGTGCATCTCTAAATGCTGGAAGAAGTCATGATCCTGCAGAAAAAGAGAGAGGAGTGAGATAAATGCAATGAGCAATTAAAGTTACTGCACACAAAAAAAATATTACACTACAATGAAATGCATCCACATGTCCATATATGGTGTCTTTAAGGGGCACAGCTTTACTGTCATCCAGCTCTGTGTGTGTGTTGATGTTTAAGGAATGAATCAGAAAATTACACATATGAGATGCAATCAGACTGTTCGTAGAGCATGTGCAACATGTGCAAGGCCTCTTGACTGTTCGCTATCAACCACTGGACTGTTTTTTTGAGCCCATTGATAGGTGCACATTTGCATTTCCTCCATGGACCAAAAACTGGAGCAGAAAACAAATGCTACATTTTGTGTCAGTCAGCAGTGCCGATGATCCAGTGTTCGTATCTAGGATCATCACCTGTGATGGGAAGTGGGTCTGCAGCTACCACCAAGAGAATAAGCTGCAGTTTTCACAGTGGAAGAGTTGCAGTTTCCAAAACCAGACAAGGTGCATCAGGCCAGGAGCACCACAAGCATGCTAGTTGCTTCCTTCAAGATTCATGTGCACCAGGAATCGCTCTGTCAAGGCAGAGTTTTACTACCACAGCAACACAATCGTCGCTCCCTACTCACCAGATTGGGCTCCCTGTGACTTCTTGCTCTTCCCCAAAATGAAATTAAAAAGTGAAGAGCTGTCATTTTAAGTTCTACTATCCTGTTGTTATCTTTTTTGAGAATGTCTCTTATAGACTGTCTATGTTAGAGCATGTTAGACTTTGTTATGCACACATTCTACTGAGGTAGTGCCTTCAAAATGTTCGTGGTATTGTTGTCTTGCACTGCAGTATAAAAACAACAGCGCTTTTATTTCTAATAGGTTTCTGCTGCAGATGGTACCTGACATGTTTGAATAAAGAGGCTTCCAGGGAAGGTTGCAAGTGTTGCAGAAGCAATTTGAACACTGTGGCCAGATTTAAATCCGGTGCAGTTTCTGATTTTTATAGGCAAAGTCTCTGAACTTTTCGATTGCATCCAATAGGTTTGTGTTTTACCTCGTGTGAAGTGAACGGGACCAGTATGCCGATGCCTCCGGACAGTGTGGTGTAGACCAGCGACTCAGAACCTCCAGGGATCAGAGTGGTTTTCTGGAGCGACAACACGGTCTCTCCTACATGGTAGTTCACGATTACCTCGGCCTGGAGAGACAGGAAGAGCAGAGGGGTGACACAGGTTATGTGTTTTTGTTGTCACATACAGCTTTAATCTGGCTGCTGTGAATCAAACAGGTAAATACAAAGAACTCCATGAGGACATGAGAAATGAAATCGTATCAGACATGTCACCTGAAGCCATTTTATGTCCCAACTCCCCAAATCATCTGTCCTGACAGCTGCACATACGTACGAAGCACATTAAGAGTGGTGTCTGTGCCAAGGTCAGAGAGAAGACACACTGTCATCCTGTGCTTAAAGGAAATTGGTGCAGATGACTTAATCCAATAATCATCAAAAAACGACTGCACCGATAATTAGAGGCAATAATCAGGATGTACCTTGTGTACAAAGGCAGCATTCGGTAGCAATAAAACCCCACCATTAGGCTGACCAAACCACGTATGGGACATACATGACACTGACGCCATGGGACCACGAAAGTACAGAGTTAAAATAAACCCTGTGCTCCAGACACTAGTGAGCCAGACATGCACAGGACACAGCTTCCCTCTGAAAACAACAGCAGCTCTGTGTGACACCAACCACAAAGTCTCCTGGGAGGGGAAACATGAATCCCGCACAAGATTTAATAGAAAGCCTCAAAGCACTAAGAAAAGACTGTGAATGATGAACCTCTGCACCTACTGTCTTTCATAACTGACCTGAAACGCTTTCAGAACACACTGTTGGTTCTGTGATGCTGTACAGTGGTGCTTCAGGCTAAATGCTAACAGCAGAGTATAATGTTTAGCCTGGTTAGCCTCGGAGTTTAGCCTGTTAGCATGTTTTCACAGCTGAAGTTACAGGATACAGCTTTAGTTATGCCAGGATTTTCTCAAAAACATCCAAAAGCTTTCGAGTCATTTTACTCACAGCCCACACATGTGAACCTTCCTGAGGTGATAAAGTCAATAGCTTTTGTCCTCTGGAGGCCAAACATGCTTCTACAAAACTTGGCGCTAATCCATCCACTTCTTGCTGCACTAAAGCTGCCAAGCAAGCAAACGTTATCAGTTCTACAGAAAACTTTATGCGGAGTTTGTGATCACATCATCGTTTTCTTTTCTCTACTGCTCTAAGTAATCAGCTTTATTATAAAATCTGGTCTAAACTGCCTGTACTTTAAATGAACTTTGCATTTTTCTTCACTTAATTTGAATTAATTTCTTTTCTATTGTATTTTTTTTTTACATGCTTTTATTTTCTCATCTTGCCTTCTTTAATTATTTAATTCTATAAATCTGTGTGTTCTTCATCTAACTTATCTCTTCTTTTCCAGGTACATTTTTTATTGACTTTTTTCAACATTAACTTGTGAAGTACGTACATATAACAAGGTGCTACATAAATAAACCTGCTTGCCAACTGACAAACGAGCCACTTGACGTATGAGCAAAATGCATGACTTGTACTTCCAATTTTCAGTTAATAATTAAAAGTTCAGAGAGTTTTTAAAGGTGTGACAGCATTCTTAAGTTGTGATTTCTTTGTATTCCAAGTGTTTGATCTGCATCAGCTGGACTCTAAAGGTGCGTGGGGATCTCCACTGTGACCATTTCAGAAAAATCAAATGTTGGACAAAATAAAACAGGAACCGAAGCAAAGTTCCTCTGATCTCACTTTGGTCACAACTTGCTGCTGTGTACCATTCAAACGCAGTGGAAGTGATACATTCGACAAAGTAGCTCAACACGCAGCTCACAAGATGTTTCCTAAGTGTCGAGGAGTTAAGGGAAAGAGGTCAGCACAGGTTATTCTGGTCCTGGGAAAATGAAGGACTCCCTAAGCGCTACTCAAAACTTTGCGCACGGCCGGTGCAGGACCAGACGATTACCTCATTAGGTATTTGAGGGAAGGTGACGAAATCAACAGGATTGTAGCTGCTGTCTCACACCATGTGGGACGTGTCATACTTTGCCACCGTTTTTGTGTCAGTTGAAGACGTAAATTTCAGAATATGGGTCAGTTAATAAATGATGACAAAAGAAGTTTGAGGTAGGTAAGTCAGATAAATGTAAATGTGAGCCAAAAGATTTGCTCCCGTTTTTAGAAAACCAGCAATAAACCCAAAGAAAAAAAGAGGCTGAACTCTTGAGGTTCTCTTAATATAGCTGTGATAGGAATCATGTTTTTTAAAAATCCAGATACATCCATGTGCTCTCTCGTGTGGTTCACATCAACTTTTGACCTTAACTGTACACTTTTTATATTACTTTTTTTTTTTTTTAGGATTTCCATATTCACATGCTTTAGCAACACAAGTGTGTGATTGTGTTTGACTTTTGTGGTCAAAACAGTCAATCCTTTCACTTTGCTCAACAGACAGCTGTCTCTCTGTGTCCAAATAAAAGCGGAATGCATCTAATTTAATGTAAGGCAGCATTTAGCCGAGGACATGTATGGATAATTAGGTTCAACCGGCCAAATGCGATCACACACATACACAACATTTTGGATAAAGACGAGTTCAGGCGTCCACGCCCGCATCTATTAATAGACGCAGTACATTTCCAAACTCCAGCAAATCAATGTGTGCAGCGGCAGAAATAGCAGACAAACACTGTGTCACAAAGGCAACTGGGACCAGCTCATAATGTCAAAATTGGAGGGACTTTCCCAGTCTATGTGCTACCTAAACAGTTTTTGACCAGGATTTAAAATATGGGATGAGTGATGCCGTGTGTGTTTCTCCTGAGTGTGCGACTTGTGCTGCATTTGTGAGGAGGTTAAACTTGTGGTTGATGGTGGTGTGTGTCTGCGGAGGTCAGAGCAGTGGAGGAAGCACATCAGGGCACCGGGCCAGACTCCAGCACCGACCGGACGGCCATTTCAGCTGCAGCACAAGGCGGCCCGAGTCACTCGACTTGTTTTTTCTTTAAAGCCTACAGCAGCATTAACCCTCTGATTCCCAAAAAAACTCTCCAGAAGTTTTGAAGGGAATCTTATCTTTTAAAAAATAAAAATTACAAATTACAAATCACAAAAATTACGTAATTTATCAGACCAACAGTTGCCAGATTTTCAACTCTTCAACAGCCCTTGAACATAATGTGCAGTTCTGTCAGGTAATTTAGCCAAAGGAGGTGCAGCGTCGAAGAATGAGCCCACGAGTAAGTAAAAGTGTGACAGGAGCAAAAAAAACAAAAAAAAAAACTGTCACGATCTTTTACAATATAAATGCTGACAAACAGGCTGCCTTCGACTCTTAAAGACCTCCAGATAAAACTTGAACTGTGCAGCAATGACACCACTGGCCTTGTCTGATGCTCTACTAGCTTCTCCATCATAATTAAGAAGGAGAGAGCTTTGCAATCATTATGATGATGTGTTATCAATGCAAACTTACTTAAACCAATTGAGAAAATCAAACGGATCTTTTTAGTTTTTTATTCTAAACTAAACTGACAGCACAAGCATGAAAGTAGGCCTGGACCTGGACAAAGCATGTTCAGTCTGACTTCTCCTGTCAGACTAGAGCAATGCATTTCTATTACATTCAGGTTACACACTGGCATCTGCAGCTCCTAGTAGAGTTGACACAAACACTCACCAGTAAAAAGCAAGCAGGCAAAACTTTAACAAATCATTTTTTATGTGACAGTGGCTTGCTTCCAGAAACCTGTATGAGACGGATGGATTGGTGAATAATGACAGCGCTTTTACCTTCTGTGATGCTCCATTAAGGAGGCCCCTGTCCCACAAAGCTTTGTTCCCTGTGGGGTCTTCATCCACATCATCGCTGGTGTTCGGGGGAAGACGCACCTGGGAAAAATCAAACACACCATGAAGGGATGTTATGTCTTCTCATCTTGTTAATCCCAAAGGGCTCCAGATGTTTTAGCACCCTCTTGACAGTCACACAAGATTAACGGCTGAAATGACATCTGGAGACGCTCGATAATGTAATAAGATCAATGCAAATGTACTGTTTTAAAGCTTTGTTATAACTGCAAACAGCTTCACTGTGTTTAATATGACTGTAAAAAGGAGAAAGAGACAGAAACTAGCAAAGAGAAGAGACAAGTGAATTAGTAAAGCCCTACTAAACTGACATTGTCTGCTTTGACTCAAGTTGATGAGTTTAGTCAGCAGCTTATTCTACCAGTACGTGTCCTCGTCCCCGTACTTACGATGCTGATGTTTCCAAACTTGTCAGCGGAGGCCATGGTGTCGTAGTCGAGCAGACAGGCTGTCGTCACCCAGCGGGGATACGTGTCATCGGCGAAGATGATGAGCTGGTTCTCGTTGCGTCGGTAACGAACCCAGAACAGACTCTCCTGGACGTCGGACACGATCACACGCTGGCCAATGGTGTGGATGCCGGTCACCAGGTTGGGAACGTGCTGGAGAGGAAGAGGAAGATGACGAGTGAGGTACTAAGTAGACTCAAAACATGATGTGATATAGAACTGCTCTGCAAGCTTCTTTACTGAGACATATGACATAATGACATAATTGCTCCGACATCTAAATACTCTGCAAACAAAATGCTTGTCATGGCTCCAGACTGTGAGCAAACGTTTATGTTTTGTGCATTCGTGCAGGTGTCCAATGATCATGAGGCTGATTTGTCGGCATGAGTAGCTACTCTGTTGTCCTACTTTTAACAACAACGGATATTTTCTTCTCCCTGCCTGACAAATAACACAATCCATTCAAGCTGCTACCGTGTTCCAAAGATAAAGCGTCAATAGCTGATTATATAGTGGAAGAAGCTGCTGAAGAGGCAAACGTCTGACACAACTAGTAACGAGTGCAGGTACAAGCAGAGGATACCAGCTGAGCTGCTGGAGAAAAAGAAACGACTGCATTCAATCACAGCAGCTAAGGTAGTGTAAGGGCTGCAGAATTAAATATTAACAGTGACTTTGACTTCTCACAGTTAAATTACCTTGATCTATTGCAGTATTGGTATTTAAAACGCGCTCCACTCACAGAAAAGTCGATCAAATCTGACATTAGAACACATTATTTCATCCTTTTCAAACTATTTTTGTCACACACACGTCTAACAGCAAGTAGCCTGCATGAAAGGAGTAAAATGACTAAAAATTGTGACAGTGGATAAGCAGATGTTGAGCCGGTGAGGAGTTTAGCCTGTATCCAGTTTAAATGAGCGATATCAGACAACTGGTGATGAAATGAATATATTGTCAGATTGTCAATCTGCATGTGCAAAACAGTTTGGGCCACATCATAAACTATGTGTGACAAACTAAGAAAGTTGTTGTGTGAGCTGTTTCCATGTAATTATCAAGTACATTTGTTGGGAACGTTCAAAAAGAAAAAGCATATTAGACTTGTTTCCATTAGCTGCTGTAGCGCAAATAAACTAAGCTGTGTAGCGTCATCAGAGAGCTGCGATAAACAGAGTAGAAGAGGCCGGAAACAAAACCAGACGTTTTCAAGCTGCTACGAAACTTAGAAGAAACAAACAAAACTTTGGCCATCTACAAGAGAAGTCTTCAGGAACAGTTTATAATCACAAAAGATGTAATTATTCTTTCATTCTAACTGAAGTCAAAAACCAGCTCAAGTGAATGAATAAACTTTTTTGCGCAACTGATATTTTTGTTGTTTCCAAAAGCACTTTGGATACAAGGCTGCTGACAATAGGACAGATACTCGCTGAAGGTTGTTTGTTCTTTGTGGAGAGAAGGTACATCTCCACTTTACAAAACTGTGCAGCTTTGGGTAATTTTACCTTAAAGTGCTTCAGAATTTAATTAACTCATCTACAAAAGGAGCAGTTGGAAAAGCCGCAGACTGTGTTAGTACTGATTTCGAAAATCCGACTAATTAAAACCGTCGCTGTTGTGCACTTGGATAAAAAAGTCTTTGTCTTCAGAGGAAGGAAAAGCCGCGGTTTAAATACAGTGAAGTTACCAACAGTCACTGGATTAAGGGCTTTATTTGTTTTCTAAAGGCTAATATCCTTTACTTAGATGATTCAAATGCTAAAAATAAACCCTTATCTGTACCGCGGTTTCTCTTACCAGATTAAGTCATTAAGAGAAATTCGGGGAATACAGGTAGATCTGAAATCAAGAAAGCCTATTATCTGACCCTAATGACCCTTAACAGGCTTTTAAGTCTGTAATTACCTACAAATGTCTCTGCAGCTGAAGTATCAGTGAGGCTGTAGTAAACCCTGGAGTGCAGCTCAGAAAACCATGTTCAGGAGTAGTCAGACTGTTAGAGACCTTGTAAGTGCAGTTATTTGATAAACGTGTGTCGCTTTTATCAAATCAGGCCTCACACATGACAGAGATAAAGACTGCCCGCATGGCCTTTCTGGTCCACAATTATCTGGCTATTTCTGTCGTACACCGCAAAGCTTTAAAACTCCTAAATGAAGAGATTTAAATGATAATTCAGATCGTGTTACATGCATTTAGAAGTTCACGACTGTCTCTGTGGCAGCTGTGGTGCCGTCCTGAGACGAAGCTCATCATGTTAAAGGATGTGAACTCTCCCCCTGACCAATCAGTTGGTCGTGGTTTGGGTGAAAGGTGGCTTTTCGCTGTGGATGGCCCCTGAGCTATGTCTCCAAGGACCGACACTACGTTTTTCAAGTGTCTAGTCCAAGTTGCATTTTGTAGCTACAAGACGGTTTCCTTAAAAGACCAAACCAGGACACTTCTGAGGACAGAGCTGCTGAATGTAGGTAAACGCTAAAGAGAAAACAAGTGAAGGCCACATTTTAGGGTGTCAAAACTAAAGGATTAATAGCGACTAGGCTATTAACTGTGTGGGAAGAGACTGTTAAATAAAACTGCTTGCCTAAGATGTCATTAATCAGAGCTGCTTTGATAAATTGCACACACTGTGAAACAATACTTCATGGTTTTAGCAGGTGTGCTTACAAAAGGGTGACAGACATTGGTAAAGCCTAGCCTTGGACTATTTTTTTTTTCCAGTCAGATCTTCATTGATTTTTATTTTTTTTATTTTAGTCTAGAACTAGATTTAACCCTCTGAAACCCAATTAGTTTCTGTTTTTTTTCTCCTTTCACAGTCACTAAATGTCTCTTTAGCAGCACAGCACAGTTATAATGCCAAGAATTCAAAAAAAAGAAATAACAAAAAGTTGAATTTCTTCGATTATTCACTTCTTCACATTGCCAATACTGAGGAAAAAATTGTGTCTCTACATATTGTACATATTTTACAGCTTACATTTATAACTGTACTTGTCTCCACAGCCAACAGTTTAGCTGAAAAGTCCCAGATTTTTTGTCACGTGACTGTTGGTTGTTGCTTTACAGCTACACCGAGGACTGCAGAAATGTTAGTGTTCTCACAGCATCTGGAGTTTGGTTTATTTTTTAGCAAGTTTTACATCTACACATGTAGAATATGGTGATTTTAATGAAATATCACAATATTAAGGTGTGAATTTTTCAGACCAGACTAAAAGCGATACAACCAAAGCCACTGCGAAGTTGAAAATCCAATGATTCTGAAAAATACTTTATTTATCCCAGAAGGGAAATTCAATTCTGTCGGTTTTTACAGTTTTTGGCTCTGACGAATGGTGTAATTTTGCCTTTCACACCTACCAGAGGGTTAATCATAGTCTGGAAAACTGTCTGAAAGTGACAATCTAACATGCTTCCTTTAACAGCTCACACAACACAAAGGCCTACATTAGGTGTACAGATGTTTGTGTATTAAGCTCTTACCTTGTTCTCACACTTGCGCAGCAGCTTCTTTTTGCCCAGGTCGTAGATTCTCAGCAGTTTCCCAACTCCCACCAGGACTCGTCCCTGGAATGGTGCAATGGCCAAAGGCACGTCCTCTACTGGGGTCTGGCAATAAAAAAAGAAAAAACAATTTTAAGGAAAATTCAGGTGAAGACGCAGTGAGTTTGTCTAAAGCAAAGACAGCTAGTATTTCTTCAGTCTAAGACCTTTTTGAAGATGGGTCCAATGTCTAGCTAAGCACAGCTTTAGACCTAATCTCCAAATCCCCTTAGGTCATGACATGGATCTCAGGTGGTGTGAAGAAGATCAAGACCGGCCCAAGCTCTTTGTTTAAATGGTTCGTAGACACAAAAGTCTGTTCTTCTGTCTACTCCCCTGCATCAACCATGAGACCTTCTGGTTTATGTAACATGGCTTTTATATATACACACATTTAAAAAACAGATAAACTTCATTAAACCTCTGAAGAACATTGTGCACAATTAAGATCAAAATTATTTGTCCCTGTGCCAATTTTTAACTTGGAGTGAATTTTCATTTGACAAATATGTTTCTTGTGGCTGGAAATGACAAACATGAGGCAAAAGATAATAAGACCTCATACCAGACCAGCTCGTGATACATTTGAACTACTTCTGTGCTGCTTTTGTTTTTTATTTATTTTTTCCCTCCCAAAAACCTACCATTTCTAAAACTATTCATACCTTTACTCTGTAATCAGTGGCATTTTTTTTTTCAAATAGTTCTTACAATTGCCAACAAGCTTTCTGCACATCTCCACTGGGATTCTGAACCACTCCTGTAATGATCTCCAGGTTTTTGAGGTTAGAAGGTTTCCTTGCCACCACTCTGGTCTTTAGTTCCTCCACAGATGGTCTTCGATGGTCTGGATGCTGGCTGGGTCGCTCCTAAACGGTTACACTGTTTTTTGTTAAACTATTGTCTGACCAATTTAGTTTGATGTTGTCTTGCTGGAAGGTTCAACGCTGGCCAAGGTCCAAGTTTTTCTGCAGACTGAACAGGGTCTTCCTCCAGAGTCTTAAAGGGCTCCTCTTTCCTAATGATGCTGTTTACTCGGCCAGGACTGCTGGTCCATCGACTGAAAGCCACACCCGAAGCATTACATAGCCACCTCCAGCTTGACTGTGAGGATGGTGTTCTTGGGGTTAAAAGCTTCTTTTCTTTGCCTAATGAAAGCTACATCCTTGTGTTGGAACAACGCCATTTTCCATCTCACTCGACAACAGCAGCTTTCTTCTGTGTTCAGGTGAACTTTTGTGTGCCTGTCTTGGAGAAGCCAAGTCCTCCTTGGTCTGAGTTGATGAACACCAGCCTCATAAAGTGTCTGACTGAGATGTTGGTACCGTAACTGCTCAGATTCATCAGGATGGTGTTGGTGGTGAATCTTGGATTCTTCGAGGCCTCTCACATTACCATTCCTGCCAGTGCCGGGGCCACTCTTGGCATCCTACACCACACCCAGTGTGGAACACCCTTGTACTTTTTGCGCTGTGGCCACTGGCAACTTGAAAACACTTGAATATGGTTTTATAGTCTTTGTCAGTCTCCTGAGCAGCCACAACTCTCTCTCAGTGATGGACAATAATAGCGAGCTCGCTAAGCTCTTTGGTTTGAGCCATGACTTGCAACAGACTAGTTTGAAGCAGCAAACTAATGTATCGGCTGCTCCCAATGTGTAGTGTTTTAGAATGCTCGAAACAGGGGGAAAAAAAGCTGCTTTTTTTTTTTTTTTTTTAAACTACATAAAAAATTTACAATTCCAATGGGTATGAATAATTTTGGACATAGCACATTCAATAAAACAGTTAAAAAAAACAACAATTAAACACAGAAATAGTCCAAATGTATCTGTAACATCATGTCCTACCCTCTTTTGTCATCAATACCAGAATAAAACTACTGATCATACATGAATCAAAATATGTGCTATGTATAAACAGGTTTGAGCTCAGCTGTATGTTCCTGCTTAATAACGTTACAAGGCAGCTGCTAAGGACAATATAACAACTTCAAATCTCGTAATAGCAAACCAAGTTAGTAAACTTTAAATCAGATTATTTTTTAGGATTCCTCTTCTATGTTTCAGAAATGTGAATCAGAAAACTGAACATAAACATACGACTGTGCATTTGTTGTTGCATTAATTAAAAGGTAATTATCATGGCGTCAGTTTTGTTTTTTTTTTTTTTGTTTTTTTTATGTATGACGCAGTTGAACATTTAAAAACCTCATTATTAGTTGAAAATATGTTCATAAATTCCATTTCTCAAACAAGATTATACTGGTCACAAGGTAAACATTTTCAATACTTTTCCTGTCGTTGATGAACTACGAGGTAACTTAAAACGCCCATTCTAATCAGCATCCTGTTGCTTTTCCGTGGCCTTCAACAGGCCTATTGCTGCTTTGATGCATGTTTCATGTTAATTGCAATAAATCCTACAAAGCAGCTTGAAGCCAGCAAAGGACAGTGTGTCTGCAAAAAGGGATCCTACTTCACTGTGTTCATTGTGCTTTCAGTAACTGCAGCATTAACCTTTTTAAATGTCCTTCTCTTCACATGAGCTGTTTTTAAGTCCTGTTGTTCAAAATCATTGATTCAAGTACAGACGGCATTCTTGTTTAGCACTTGAACATGTTTAAAGAGGACTTAAAGCTTTTGCTCTCACATTAAGGCAACAGCTTGCTGACTGTCAGACTAACAACAGGGTAAGAGTGCTGACACTGCAGTCATCTACCACTGATGCTGTTCCGACTCTGAGATGTTAGCTTGTCTACATTTGAGATGCAGTGATGATTTAAGGCTATCTTCTTCAGTGTCTCTCACACCGCTGGCATTATTTTTAGGTCTCAGAAGATGAATTTAGGCACCAAACTACTTGACATTTACGTTCAAGTCAAGCTTATGTAGCAAGTAGCAGCAGTTTTTCTGGATCAAAATGGGCTTTTGGGGGGTGACTTTGCATGAAATTAAGCCCCATCGGTCCATATTCATTGAACGCAATGACTCTGTTACCATTTTTGAAAGAAGTCTATGCATGTTCTTTTTATTTCGGGCCATTTAATAAACAAAAATGTCTATTATGTTTGAAAAAATGAACCCCCAATCAATTAAAGTGTTCCCCCCTTTATTTTTTTTTCTAATCCTCAATTCTTATGATTTTGGTGCCAGTGATTTTCCTTTTTTGCTGGCTAAAATCTTTGGGTGGCACCAAAAATTGCTGCATATGTTGATCTACAACATGCAGAGGGAATGAAACTAGTTGAAGGATTGTCATATGTAAAAACCGTACACCATGGCCTGAGTGAGCAAAGCAAAAAGGAACAAGGTAGTTAATCTGCATCAGCAGGTGTTTCCAGATGTGCTGTTCAAACTCAAAGCACAAGGAAGTAGGTGCGATTGAGGACCAGAAATTAGGGATTCACACTGAAGATTGATCTCAAACAGGAAAAAAAAAAAACCAAAAACAACACTTATACATGAAAAACAAGAATTAGGGAGCAGAAATTCTTTTAGTGAGTACATTAGGAGAAGTAGGAAATAAAAAACCAAAAACAACACTTATACATGAAAAACAAGAATTAGGGAGCAGAAATTCTTTTAGTGAGTACATTAGGAGAAGTAGGAAATATTTTAGGTGAAAATGAGGCACTAATCTAACTTGGCTGCTCTGTGAATAAATACATCTGGATAATTTTGGTTTTGCTGATGAATGAAGGTTGTTTTCGGAGGTACAGGCTGCACCAGCACCACTACTGGCCATGCGGCCTTGTGCATATATGTGTCCAGCCAGGTATGTCAACCTGCATGGTGCCATATAACACAAAAACATAACGTTCTCTGCTCTGTCTGAGTATCCATATGTATGTGCATGAGTAGAAGTTGTGTGTTGTGACCAGATAGAACGATCTAAAAAATCAGATCTGGTTAAGTGGTTGGGGAATTCCTCTAACCCCGTGAAAAGAAGTGGCTGACACCACTGTGCAATCCAACACTCATGACTCATTTCCCCTGTTAATCCACATCAGGTAACAAACACATGTGGGCTGATTCACCCCGATCATCTCCACCCTGCTCGAGTTTCCGGGGGAATTGCCCGGAGAGCAGCGGGTGGCGCCAGACCCAGTAACATCTGCGTTTGGCGTCAATAAAACTTTATTTGGGGCTGTCCTGCTGGGTGCACTCTGGAGACCCTTGTCCCTCGAGTCCAGCTCTTATCTCAGCACCCATTTCAAACCATCCCCCCCCATGGCCACCCTTTCTCTCTAATTATAAACACAAAAGCTGCGCGGGAAGCACATGGCTACCAGACTTGATCGACAGACACACATTAGCTGGAGTGACAGCCGATTCACAGCCTCATCAGAGCCTGAACGCGATGCAGCTGTGAGGAGCAGACACATGGACAATGGAGCTACAGGGCTTTGTCACATGGCACCACATCACACTTGTCAGGACGGGCAGATGGAAAAGCAACTGCTTTTCTCTTCGGTTGATTAAATACCGATGCTGCTAAATTTGTATTCTTTCACATGTCTAAATCTTATTTCACTTACAGTAAGCTTAGTGTAGGGCTACATGATACTGGAACAAACTGGCACTGTAATATTTTAGTGTTACTGCTGTATATATTGCAAAAAAAAAAAAAAAGTCATTTTCACCTTTTTACTTGAATACTTCTATTTGGAAAGACTTCATAATTCCTGAATAGATTTGGGTGATTTTATAGAGGATGCATAGAAAATAAAAGATAACTTTAAAAAAAACTTTAATCCTTTAACACTGCTAAAGGCTTTCAAAGTAGTTCTTTGCTTTGGATGATATACAGATTTGACTTTGCACTCGTCCCACATAGTGTTGTGGCGCTGATTTAAATGGTCAAATAAATCAGTTGTGTGGCGGCAACAATCACAGGACACTCATCATCTCTATAGTCAAAGTACTTCCATACAACTGACTACAGCTGCACAATTATGGCCAAAACGATAATCCTGATTAATGAATCAATATTGAGAATACAATAAGCCTATTTATCACTGACAATCAGTGCTTTTTTTCTTTTTTTTTTTCTCGCATTTTCACATTTAAATAGTCAGAGTACTGCTTTCACTTCCATGTTGTGCTACATTCCTGCAAATGCACAAACCTTTGTATTAAAGACTGAAAGCAAGGTTCTTCATCTGAGTTCAGAACATCTCCTAAAGGAAAAATATCAATTCAATTACACCTCAAATGCCGTACTTGCTGAACATCTGCTTATCAATAGACGCTACAATTTATCACTTTTCCCTGAATGCCTCACATGTAGGCTAAGGTAGATGCTAGCATGGAAGCTGTGCAGATAAAAAGCCCAATTCAGACAGGTATTACTTCAGGTGATTTATCTACATGGGCTGTTTTTTATGAACACAGTTTTCTAATTTTATCTCGTCTTTATTTATTCAAATTTTTAATTGTGAGAAGCCAAAATTGTTGTCATGATTTATATTCCGGTAATTGGGCTGCTCTACAACTAACATTACTGTTCTTTTTTGCAAGCACTGCTTCATTTTAAATGTTTCTCTCCTGTTTCCGTCCCATTTGCTGTGCACATATAGAGCCTGCATGTTAACGAGCTCTGTCTTGTAAATTAAAAAAAAACAACAACAAAAAAACACTAAGTGTATCCAAAAACTCTTAAATCAGAGTACGCTATAGTCAGTTGTATGGAAATACTTTGTCTGATGAGACAGACAGTCAAGTTTTCTTGCTGTATTAATCAGCAAAACTACCAAAACATTATGTGTTTAGGTAAATTTGAGTTAATCAGACCCAGTTTAGTGTCTATAAAACCCACCTTGTGCACAAACTCCAGCTTCTCCCCTCCACCAGTGAGCCGGTAGGTGTAGATGAAGCCGCCGCCAACTGACCTCGGGTTGAGAATCATGTCCCTGGCAACGCCGACCAGAACATACCAATCATCTCCTGTGTTGGTAAAACGACACACTGCAACACTGAAAAACATCAAGCACAGGGAAACGGGGGGAAAGGGGAGATGTGAGAAATGAAGAGAATTAAAAACAAGCAACACTTGACATAACATTGTGCATTTGAAGCTGCTACAGCAATAGCTAAACTACCAACTACCTTGATATTGGTGTAATATTGACAGTTTATAGTTTAAATACAAGGACTGCAGTGCATATTTTTAGAAAATGACTCCGGCTAGACATTTATAGTGTGGTATTGGGTTGCACAAATGACACGTTCCATAAACAGTTAAATTTTTTTTTTTAAAAAGAGAAAGTTCCCTACTTATTTTTTTAAACATCTATAGACCACAAAGAGATTCCAATACTGTGTAAAAAGGAAATATCTGAAACTGTCCGCTGCATTCGTGTCATTTTGAGTTAGCTGAGAAATATTCAATGATTAGAACTGAAAAATACTCATCTGTGCCTTAAGAACATACCACAAAAACACATGATATCAGACAGGACTGCTTGTTAATCCTTCCTCTGGATTTGCTTTTTGTTATTCAGTGGAACATATTTATATCACTGCTGCAAGAGGGAGACAACCTACTATTAACAAAAGCGCTGATTTAAAGTCTTCTTCATGTAATAACTTACTGCAAAATGAAACGTAACTGAACATCTCTATTGGACCTGAGGCTTGCAGCAGCCACATAGTATAATGACTGTATTTATGAACCCCTTGACAGGGATCTGGACTCAGGAATGAATGAAAAAAAAAGGAAGCCCTATTTCATCCGCACCAAACCACTAAACCTGGTCTCTCCACTGAATCGTTAAACCGCCTGATAACAGAAACCAGGTTAGATCCACTTTTGCAGCCCAACAGATTTCACTCAGGAAGATGTCTCATCTTAAGTTCAGTTTCGAAGCACCACTGGCGAGAATTTATGAGATCCTGTGAGACTTTTAGACTGGCTGTCAATTAGAGTGAAAGGTGTAATAAATGGGGAACAGTCCGGGGTGGGTCTGTGGGCTGCATTACCTCACTTATCCCCATCTCTAACAGACACTACTGACAGTTCAAAGTTGAAGCACTGTGTCTTGTGGGACCTTTTCTCCAACATCAAGCGTTTCTGCTTCACACTCTGCACATTCTTCCACTCTTTTCAACTCCTCTCCATCCTGTCTGTTAACAATTTCATTAAGTGTGACATCCATCTGTTAACAAAAACTCACAGCTAATAAACCGACTCTCAACTTTCTTTCTTTCCTACATGATCACCAATCCTCCGCTTCATCTGGATGTGACCGTATAATCTACACACGATGGCACTGAGGAGTGTTTCTGATTTGATCAACTCACCTAAAGGCGGCTTCGTTCTGTTCCAGCTGCACCTGGTCCAGCGTTGAACCCTGTATGGGGTTGACCAGTCGCACCAGCGAGGCCCACTGCCCGGCTCCAGCTTTAGGCGAACCAAAAATGGCTTCTGGGAGATTCTCGTTGAGGAAAGCAGCGGCCATCTCAGCGGCCAGTTCTCTTTCATCCTCTCCAGCAGCCTCCACCATCTCCTACAGGGGCACAAGAGAGTTTGCCATTTTTCTCTGCTGTGTATCCTTTTAGATTTCATATCTTAATAACAAAACAAGCACATCCTAAGACAGGAGCTGTGACTTTGACTGTGTTTTCAGATGGCATATATGAAATTATAAAATTATAGCAATAACTGAGACAGTGAATGATATCAATGATGCAAATAATTATCATTTTCAGTTATAATCTTCACACACGACTGAAAGTTGTGGCGTCCTTTAAATAAAGAGATACTGCCTCTCAGGCCTGTCTTTTATGTCTAGTGTGGAATCTGTTCTTCATTTTTGCTTCAGTATAGGTCAAGCGGATGGTGCAAATATGTAGAAATATAAATTTTTTTTAAAAAGCAGTGATGGAAAAACTGAGCCCCTTGCTCTTAATTTATTGTCGTCAGCTGCTGCCGCCATTATTCAAGTGGGTTTGACTGTCAACGACTGCATGTGCAATCACTCCAGAGGGGTTTTTCACCACACAGCAGACAGCAGAGGAAGCACATCTGTCAAGTAGGCTTGTAGCGGCTGTCAATCAGATTGACCTCTGATGATTGAAGACACAAATGCTGATTGATATTGATGTATGCTCAGTACGTTATCCTGTTTCGTTAACTAAAAGCAACACGCTGTCAGCTGAGCAACCCGTCAGCGGTATGGGAGGTTGCACCAACATCTGGTGGAAAAGAACTTTACTAACATGGACCAGAACCGACGATATCAGAGCAACAACGTCCCTCCTGTCATCACTTCTCTCTGCTTCTATTGCATTTATCTTTGTGGTTAGGGGTTAGGACATCTTAACTTTTTTTGTGGATAATGACCAAGAAAAATATACAGTAATCTGACGGGCCGAATGTGAGTCAGCTAAGGATCTTAACGACTAATTGTTAATCGATAAAAAAGTATTACACAGTAAGGCAGTGGACGAGGGTCATGCATGGTAGAAAATATACTGCAGAATTGCTGTAGTACCTGGTTGCACCACCAGGTGTGCCGACCACCTGTAAGAGTCACATAAAACGAACGCACCTCCCTACTGTCTAACTGTTAACTGTGCCAGTCGTGCTGATGAATTCTGCAGCATAAATTTGTAAACAAGTCTTTCAAACATTAACACAGCTCAGGAGCTGAGTGTCTGTCAGCAGAGGTGCTGCTGACATTCAGGAGCAGCAGAACTCCTAATATATGCTTCCAACAACTTTGAAACTAAAATGCGAAGGTGTGTTGACAAACTCTGCTCCAAATATACATATATTTTAGAGGTGGTAGTAAATGCGAACAAATATATGATAAAGTTTCTGCAGCAGGATTCTTGGACATCTATTGCAGTTGAGCAGGTTTTTGTTCCAGCAGCTGGACTCATTATTTTTTGACATTTACTTCAAAATCTACGGACTTGATTGGTTGAATTAATGGACCTTTGTCTATGAATATTTTGTGTGTGACTATGATTTGGGTTGCATATGACCTGATTAAAGTAATAGAACTGAAGTACTGGCTATGCTTGTCTTTTTTGTGAGGTTTCGTAGCGAGGGAGTTAAGCTATCGGGGCAAACTTCTAAATCGTGAAGGAAAATCTGTTTTAAAGTAGGGATGTATAATACGTTGGCGACCACATTGGTATCGGCCAATATTCGTGTTTTTTTTCCCATATATCAGTATCGGGTGAATGAACAAATTTATTTATTAATTGTTAACATGGCCGACTATCAGCTAAGGAGGTAGTTTTGCATCCAGGGACTCAATAATCTTCTCCTCGACAGATAAGTCAAGTCACTGAGGGAGCAATTTTTTCTTTTATATGAATAAAACACCCCAAAATAAATGCAAACACACAGGCCTGTGCCTCTTTTCCTGCCTCTGTCAACTTGTGCTACTGCTGCAATAAAAAGTGGGCTAAAAAAGCTGGCCCCCAGCCAAACCCAACTGCTGACCCTGAGTGAACACAATCAATTCCCACAACGGAGCCACTAAGCTGCAATCGTGTTCCGGCTATAAATTGTGACATGACAAAATAGGGGATATAAATGCTAAGTCTGGGAGGTCTCGACACTCTTAATGATGCGTTTTCACACTCATGGTCAGTATGATCACCGGCGAGGGCAGAATCAAAGCAGCTCCGTAGTAAACTCCTAGAATACCTGTATTGGGTTGCTCTCCCAGGAGACAGAGCACAGGCACAGCAAAGTGTCTGTTACAAAAGATCAAGACTTTCTTTTTAGGTTGTGACCTACAGAAATAGTAACAGCTCTCCCAGAACTCTCCTTTGGCCATAACTTTATTAGCCAGCATACCATTGTTCTGCCCCCCAAAAAAACTATTAGTGTGTGACACCAAAATGATTCTAACTTTGCCCTTTAGGTCGGAAGGATTTATTACTTCAATTATCTCATTGACATGGCACTTCATACCTCAGCCATCTGTTGCTTTCTTTGAGCTTTGGTCGCCTCGGTGTAGGCGTTGTGGTCGGTCTCGATCAAAATGAGGTTGTTGGTCTCCTGGTGGATTACAAACTTCCTGGGAGTGTACTGCAGAGGAAAGGCCACTTGGTTGAAGACGGCGCCGAGTTTCTCCAAAGCCAAGATTCTGTCAGACAGAAAATGACAAGAGAGAGAAGAGAGACGGTTACAAATACATTTGAACTTAAGGGGCACAGCGGTGAGAACGCTGAGATGTTCTGTGTTCCTCAACACACAACAGTCTGGCCACAAGAAACTTTTCACTTCAGCGTTGGACTGTCAAACCACCAACACACCATACCAGAGAAATGTGTCACACAATACCAGGCTATGTGGTGCACTTATTATATACTTGAAGTAACTGTGTGTATGCTCTATTCTTCTTATGTACGGGGCAAAGGCTGAAAGATTTGCACTTGAACTAGGTTTGTTTCCAAAATGACATAACTGCCTTGTTGTAAAAAAATAAATAGTTAACGGCTGTGCAACCATTTCACATAGGGATGCATAACAAAGCCTGGTATGAAAGAAGCCCTGGGACTAAATTAATTAAGACAGGAGGATTGATAACCTAAAATATCAGTTCTGCTGTCGGTGTTGGAGAAATTAAAAAAATGTCCCATTTATTATAACTATATGGACATTAGCTTGCACTTTTTCTCTCATCAGCTGCATTTTTAATTTGTCTATGAAGCAGTTTACTAAAGTTCTCTCTCGCTCCGTCGCTGCAGCAAACACAAATCCAGTACTAAACACGCATTCAAGTTGAAAATTCTCATTGCCACAAGTGCAACAAGTCTTTTGCATGCAGTAGAATAAATCTGTTGAAACATCCAGAGTTAGCAGTTCTACACTCTCTGGCTTGTAGTTCACTTCTCATTAACCCAGGTACGGTGCACATTTTAAGAGCCAACAGTGGACTTGGTGTTAACTAGATTATGCAAACATTGGTTAATGTTTACAAGGAAACATTAACCCCCTGATTGTTTAGTTGTGGTTGTGTTCACAAAGTCAGTCTAAAATAGAGCATCATCTGAACTTTCATTTAGAGATTCAGTTTCAAAGCAGGTTTAATTATTTGGGGGCTGCAAGAAACCACTGTCCTGCTTTATTTCTTATCTTTTCTCTAACTGAATGTTTGCATTAGAGCTGGAGTAGAAGAAGCAATCAAACTGTTTTCTTATGTAAAACTAGTCATGCTGCACAGTAAAAACACTGTTCTGCTTTTAGTTTTTTCATTGAAACTGAAAAAGAGATAATTAAAGAAACACAGTAATATTAATTTGCTTTGTTTTTTCTCTTAAAAAATGACCCACAGGAGTACCGTTAAAGCATCACACTGATAAACAGTTTCACTAAGACGAGTATTACTGATTACTAATTGTACAGCTTCAGTAACTTCACTGTTTTGTTTGCTTTCTTCTCTGCAGTTTTACAAGTTTGTAAAGTCAGATTTCATCAAAGTGCTGATTCTATTCAATTTGCTTTCAAATAAGGGAAAAAAAACAGAAAACCTTTGCAAATGACTGGAATAGGTCTGTGAAGATTCTCAGTCATCCAGGTCATGGCTATTCTCGCAGTTTAATCGTAACAACTGGGCTTGCTTGAGTTTCTTGAAGACAGGTGAAACATCTTCAAGAAACTCACGTAAGTCCAGTTGTTTCGATTAAACTGTGAGAATGACTGGAATAGGATTTGTTTTTGAAGAACAACTAAAGCAAATAACTAGTTCAACTGATGCAGTCACTTTTACTTTAGATGGATGAACTGATTTCAAGGATGATTCGTGGACTAATTATTTCAACTCTAGCATGAGACAAATTTTAGTAGATACTAGAACATAAACTGTTAATTTCATGGCTAACCAGCAGTGCATTTTGGTTCTATATGCCACACGGTTCTTTCCCTCCCAAAATCTTCAGCATTTGTACATTAACATGACAAACAATGCTGCTTTGTGTTGTGTACTAAACAGTCTAACTGTTGCTTCCATACCTCAGTGTGTTGGTGGAGATGGCCACGATGCCTTCTGGGCATTGCTCTGAGGCGAAGCCGGAGGCGTACTCCAGAGTCTCATAAGAGAGGGGGGTCAGATGGAAGCGAGACTGGTATGAGTAGCTGAGCCAGGAGCGGCTGGACATTGCCAATACCTATTAAAAAGACAAAAAACAGATTTTTCAGCTGCAACTGAAAAGGTTTTTCCAACAATTTATTAAGTGATTTATGCTCCTAAACTCTTAAATGACAAAAGTACAAAGCTTAACGTTTTCTGTTAAAATTCCTTACTTTGTCTGATTATGAGCCAAAAGACTAAGAGAGCATGCAATGTACTGTTTCAGATTTCAGTTGGAACTATAGCAGCATGCTGTCTAATTTTAAAGTGTGTTGATATCAAGTAAATGAGCCACGTACAGCTTCCTGCCCCTGCATCCTGACTCTGAACAGTTTGACAGGTCGTGACCCCAGGTAGCGTGTTCTGGTATCGGATAGGTCACCGGTCACTGGGTCCAAAACGGTCCTGAGCAGCACCCCGTTCTGAGAAACAGGTTAGAAACATGCACAGATTACTGAAAGACATCATCTAAAATCTATATCTCAATAAACTGTCACAAACACCCACAAGTTATATTAATTTGTTGATTCAAAATCTCTGCAAAGACCTCCTCTCTCTGGATTGTGGATAACTGGTTGGTTGAAATTGTGGCTGATGCAGACAGTCTTAGAACCTAATATTTACTTCTAATATCAAGTAACATTCTTTCTGGATGAAATACAACACAGATGTGACCAAG